TATTTTTGAATAATAACATTAAGAAAGGTCATTTGGGCTTTCTGTCTAAAAAGTTAACTATTGTGTGCCGGTTCTCTCTGCATTGGCTGCTCAAGGCTTCTGATCAGCAGAAAGCGGCCAAGGGCCCTGAAGTGTTTCGAACTCAGGATACTTGGCTCTCTCCCTGGGTTAATGGTGCTGGAGGCAGTTGTTCACTAACCTTATCACGGAGCTCACCGACGGGGAAGCCTGTTGTGAAGAAGAAGGAAAAACGACATTTACCTTCATCTCTGGGAGCGTTTTTTTCCAACCTAGCGATTTCTGATTGTCAAGAGGTGGGTGGGAGTGGAATGAAAGTTGCAGGTTGGTTTTTGTTAACTGGGTTTTCTTAAAATTCAAAGAAGAAAGTCAACGTGTCCAGGCCCGTCAGCCATTAAACCGACAATGTGAACAGGACATAGATGAGGTGATCAACTGATTAACTCAGGCACACAGACCAGGAGACAGGAAGTGACTCCATCTCTCCTTCATTGCTTTGAATTTTCCTTTCTATAGATGGCATGACAAAAAATCCCAATTGTCCCTCATTGGACTTCTATTTCCTTCTTCTTACAGTGTGTGTGTCCATATCGACATTCAAAGACTCCGTCTTTTAGCTCTGAAAACAATACCAAGCCTGGTCCTGAGACCCCTGCACCTTTCTCATTCTCGAAACGTGCAGGAGAAGCCACATAACTTTATGATTGAAATTAATGTTTTCATTCAACTGCACATGCCCAACCTCAATACACATATTAGCAGAGAGAGCACGAGCCCCGAGCACTTCTTCCCCCAGATAATATGCTTTCCTTTTTTTCTTTCTTTCTTTCTTTCTTTTTTTCATTATCCCTTTAATGCCGAGCAGGGCTACTGATTACAAAGAAGCCGTTTGACTCCGGCAATAGGTCTTCTTCACTAAACCTCACTGTCATGGAAATTCCGGCTGCTACAAGAATAAGAGGTTCAATCCATATTTGCCAGCTCTAATATGAAATCTGTCAGAGCCCAAATTAATGAGTTCCAAATTCCTTACATCACGATAACAGGTTAAGACTGGTCAATTAATTACATAAATCCTTCCCGATTCATTGTGTGTTTGCAGCCCAGATTGTGTCTTACATTACGCCTCGACACAAGGCCTTTGGCTCCCGTTGTTCAGCAGGAAGGCCCCACTTAAGCGGAGGCTGCCTGCCACGGCAAAATGTTAAATGTCACACGTTAAATTTGCACTTTTCTGTAATTGCTTTTGTTAAAAAAAAAAAAATTAAAGCACAGAACGCCACTGTGTGTAGAAGGCCGGGTTGGACTGAACGGATCCCAGGGCAGGCCAGGAGCTATCTGTTACCTGGAATCTTTTACACCCTCCCAACACACACACACATACACACACAGTCCGTCCCTGCACCCCAGGTACCTGATGGGGAGTTAAACCCCAAATATGCCTATGTTGGACAATAAACCAAATTTCTGCAGCAGCAGACATAGCGATCGTTTATGAAAGAATATAATTTTCCTCTGTGGAAGGATGACTCGGCTATTTGTGCAGCCCGCTTCCCCTCCGCAGTGGAAGTGTTGAACAACACCTTGGGCCGAACCGGCTTTTTCAGGAACTTCAAAACGTTCGTGGGAATCTTCTCTTGTTTTAACTCCGTTGTCCGTAACGTTCTGAAGCCCTTTCATGTTGCACCATGTGTCTGTGGGTGCGAGGGCATGACACTTGTGTAGGTCCTTTGCCTTCAAAACGAATGTTTGCTGTTTGGATTGGACATTGGTGCACAAACCAGAGGCCCTCTAAGGACCTGAGGGAGGGGGGTGGCAAATCCTTCCCTTTTCTGAAAAAATAAAAATGGAAATCCCCTTGGAGTCACAAGCAGTTAAGAGAACTAGACCTTGGATGGAGGGCCCTCATCTTGTGAGGGTGCTGGGTCTTCACCCCACTGCATTTCTGCGTGTAGGGGGCTTTTCCGGGCCCGTGAGATTTAAGGGTGTGTTGTTTCCTGAATCACCGGAGCATGCACGAGCGAGCGAGCGAGCAAGGAACGCTGCCAAGCCCGGGCTGAAATCGATGTGGGGCGCAGGTTGCGTCCGCTTGGGGGCTGGCTCTACCATCACGCACCCCAGCACTGACAACCAGCCCGACTCCGGGCGGCCCTGCAGCGACCCCCTCTGTCGGCCGGCGGC